ACGATCCTCGTGAAGGGGTGTGCCGAAATGGCCCTAGGCCGCCATGCGAACCTTGCCACTGGGGTCTTCGGTGGAGCTCCCTATGGGGCCACGATCCTTTTGAGGGTGTGCCGAAATTGCCCGAGGCCGCCATGCGAACCTTGCCACTGGCGCCTTCGGTGGAGCTCCCATTGGGGCCACGATCCTCGTGAGGGGTGTGCCGAAATGGCCCGAGGCCGCCATGCGAACCCTGCGAGTGGCGCCTTCGGTGGAGCTCCCTATGGGGCCACGATCCTCGAGAGGGGCGCGCCGAAATGGCCCGAGGCCGCCATGCGAACCCTGCCACTGGGGGCCTTCGGTGGAGCTCCCTACGGGGCCACGATCCTCGTGATGGGGTGTGCCGAAGTGGCCCGAGGCCGCCGTGCGAACCCTGCCACTGGGGCCTTCGGGGGAGCTCCCTATGGGGCCACGAAGCGATGCACTGGGTGGGTGAAACGCAGGGAGGAGGGAGGAGGAGGAGGAGAGGAGGAGGAGAGGAAACGCGGGCCACCGTCTCTTCAAAACGAGGACCCAACACCACAGGATGGTTGGGAACAAATGGGACAAAATGGGAATCATTGCATTTTTGTATATTTATTTGTGTGTCCCAGGGTCCCTTGCTCGTTTTAAGCCAGCGTGATGAGGACACTTCGCTGGCGACCAGACGCCGCGTGATGCAGCACCGACGCCTCGTGTGGCGGGCCCAGCCGAGGGCCCTGCGTCCAGCGGAGCGCTGGACGCGTGGCCACCGGGCGAGCCGCCCGGTGGTTCCATGGGTTGGGCTTCCAAGACGGCTCAAGAGAGCCACAGGACGGTGCGTTCGGGTCAAGTCGGGCGTGTCCCCCATACAAGGGGATTTTCGACGAACAATAAAAGATACCAAAACATAGTTTTTTACCTATTTTAAAAAATAGTCTGGGGACTATTGTTTGACTATGGTTTGACCTTTTTGGGGTGCTTTTTGTGTATGTTTAATTTTTCGTCGAAAATCCCCTTGTAGGGGGACAGGCCCGACATAACTTTCGGGTCATCCCTTGGGGTCAGATTCGGGGAAGCCAGAGAAGGCACCGATACCTCTGCTCCCCAGGACTCTCCCGGAGCCCGTTCTGACCAGGACTTCGAAGCGAACCCAGCGGTGGCGACGGGGCCCTCGCGGGAAGGCCAAAACGGGGAAAAGGAGGGAAGGGTCGCAGCGTGGGCACCGTTTCCTCCTCCGAGAACGTGCCTTCCCAGGAGGGCCAGGAGGGGGAGAACGAGGGAGGGGCAGAGGGATGGGGAGCCTCGTCCTCCTCCGAACCTCAGGCCTTCTGGCCACGCGCCCGTCGCGCGGGGGGCTCCCCGGGAACGCCCGAGAGCGCGGGAGAACCCAGTGAGTCCAGGGCCTGGGGCCCCGAGGATGAGGAGGAGGAGGAGGAGGAGGAGGAGGAGGAGGAAGAGGAGGAGGAGGAGGAGGAGGAGGAAAAGGAAAAGGAGGAGGAAAAGGAGGAGGAGGAGGAGGAGGAGGAGGAGGAGGAGGGAGGAGGAGGAGGAGGGAGGAGGACGGAGGAGACGGAGGAGGACGGAGGAGGAGGACGGAGGAGGAGGACGGAGGAGGAGGACGGAGGAGGAGGAGGAGGGGAGGAGGGAAGAGGAGGAGGAGGAGGAGGAGGAGGACGGAGGAGGAGGAGAAGGAGAAGGAGGACGGAGACGGAGGACGGAGGAGGACGGGAGGAGGAGGACGGAGGAGGAGGACGGAGGAGGAGGACGGATGAGGAGGACGGAGGAGGAGGAGGAGGGGGTCCAGGGCTGGGACCCGGAGGAGGAGAGGAGGAGGAGGAGGAGGAGGAGGAGGAGGAGGAGGACGGAGGAGGAGGACGGAGGAGGAGGACGGAGGAGGAGGACGGAGGAGGAGGAGGAGGAGGAGGACGGAGGAGGAGGATCCACAGCGCAGAGATCTCGAGGGAACCTGAGCACGCTCCATCCAGTGCGTGCGGCGGGGTCGCGGGCGTGTGTATGTATGTGTCTCACTCTTTCTGTTTATGGATTGTGGTTATCTAGTTTGTTTGTTTGTTTTTTTTTTTTTCTCTCTCTCTCTCTCTCTCTCTCTATATATATATACATGTATAAAATACATGTATGCTGCTATTTCAAGTGGCCTGTCACATGAATTCGATGGAGAAGCGCTCCCGTGACACAGCCTGGAACGCACGCAGACATCGGTTCCCCGATTAACGTTGCCAGGATCCCTCGTGCCCCACTATAGAATCGTTCTTGATTTATCACTGACACTTTGCGATACCCGTTCCTCAGGTACGGCTAGAATCTTGCGGCCGGCGCCGCCGACCCTGAAGGGGCACGACGACGACGACGACGACGACGACGACGACGGCGGCAAGGAGACGGTGGGAGGCGGGGTGGCGCGGAGAGGCGGTGGGATGCGGGATGGCGGGGCATATGCGGAGGGAGGCAGGGGGAGGCGGGGCAGCGAGTCGCAACGAGGTGCCTGTGAGGGCTTTAGCGGCCGGTGGTGCCGACCCTTCAGGCGGGGCCTCCCGTGGGACCCTGGGGCCCCTTCGCGGGACCCCAGGGCCAGTGTGCTGTAACGCTTCCCTGGCCTGCGCTAGAACCTAAGCGCGCGCGCGCGGTTTCTCGCATATATATATATATATATATGTATATATATACATATATACATATATATATATATAGATATACACATACACATACACACCTACATGCACATGTACGTCTATGTGTACACACGCGCGCGCACACTCCGTTCAAGACACATGTACGCAGCCCGGAAGCAGCACCGGAGCTGAATGGCGGGCCCAGTGCCGAGGTTTGATGTTGTACATACAGGCATCGTTTATATGTTTATTTGCACGCATACGACTTACGGCATAGGTAATTGCAGCTCAGCGTCGGGTTTTTGGCAGCTGCTGGTTCGGGGAGTTTCTGGAGACTCCCGGAAGCCTCGGCTGGGTCCGCGCCGCTTCGGCGCGGCGGCGAATCCATTTCGAGTGTGTGAGCAGACGTGCCGAGGATGGCGATCTTCAGAGGAGGAAGAGGTACGGATGCCGCTACCCTTCGTCCGCGTCCCTTTTTTTGGCCTCCATGGAGGCCTTCGTTGCCACCGCTGGATTCGCCTCGAAATCGGAGTCACAACTCGCCCCTGGAGAGGTCCGGGGAGTAGCTGTATCGGTACCTTTTGGTTTCTCCAGATCTTTCTCTTGCCGAAACGATGATGAAAGCTCTGCGACCTCCAAGGTCTGCTGATCTGGACAGAGGTGACCGATTTACGTGATCGTTCCAATCTGAGTTTTGCAGGCGAGGGTGGTGTCGTTTGATTCCTAGTTGTCTTGCATGGGAATCAGGGGAATGCTATGTCACGATCATGCCACATTTCTCTGTGAATATATGTGCGCCGAAGATGCCGACGTCTCTTGCCAAAACGATGATGATAACTCCGCGACCTTAGAAGGTCCTCGCTGATCTGGAAAGAAGTGACTGATGTACGTGATCGTTCCAATCAGAGTTTTGCAGACGAGGTTACAGGCGGATGCTCTTCTTGATATGTTTTGCAGACGAGGATGCTTCGACAGTTTTGCGTCAAGCCCCAACCTTCGATTCCGCATCGCACGCATCGCGATGCTTGGCGTTTTTTGCTGGGCCTTAGCCGGTGCGCGTTCCCGATTCATAGAGCATTGTTAAGAGGATATGTCAGCACGGGTGTTCACAGAGAGTTCCAGACAAGTTGCATTACCAGGCGATCAAGCTATAAATTTGAGACCTTCATTTTTTCCATCCCTGCGTGTTGCTTCGGTGTTTGTTCGGATCCATGATGTCAAGTCGCGATCTTTGCGCTGGGCAGCTCGTAACTTCGCGTTCAATACGGGTTGCCAGCGGAATGTTGTTGTCTTCGCAGGTTCACAATGGTTCACATGTGTATGGCTTGGCTCGTTGATCAAATTCATTCAGACACCTTTGTGAGCGCAAGAGACTATTTCAGACCACCGCGATTAAAAAAAAACGCCTCGAAAGTTCCACTTGCTCATCAGCGCACCCTGGTCAGGCAGCCGATCAGGATCCCCAAGACTGGTTCAGAGGCGCAACCCCTCCGCCACTGCACCATCGCCGCGTGACGTTCGGCGGCTGGGCATTGCCCCGAGTGATCTCTCAACTTCAGCGTCATTCTCGCTCGAGGCACGCTGCCGCTTGCCATCAGCTCATCCAGATCGCTCGCAGGGCGAGAAGCCAGAAACTGGAACGTATACACATATACATGACCAGTGGCGGGCTGCCTTTCAATCCCAGGACTTTTTGAGGGACGGGGAAGACGTCGGGGTGGTGTGGTGTTTACTTTTGATCCCCCTCCCAGGGAAATAATGAACAATGTATACACCAGGCTACCGTCTACGGTGGGGGCGCGCATCAAGAAACCATATGCTTTTCGCCAGGGTATCCTGGGTTTCTTCGCTCCTCGTGCTGCGCGGCGACTTCCCGCAGCCGTTGAAGGAGTTACTGCATTTAGGGTGCTCCAGGTTTCCCTTCAGGTGCACCTCGCGCACGGGTTCTCAGGGTTGGGTTTCTTGCGAGGGTTTCTTGTGGCCGTGCCCGCAATGTACGCCAGGATCCGCTCTCCAGTGCAAATT